GGACATCTCACATAATCACTTCACCGGAATTTTACCAGAGGATTGTTTTGTGAACTGGAGTAAAATGTCATCTCTTGGGATAAAGGAAGATCAGTCGACTGAAAAGTACATGGGAGGAGGGTATTACCACGATTCAATGGTTTTGATGAATAAAGGAATAGAAATGGAGCTGGAATATATTCTAAAAATGCTCACAGCACTCGACTTCTCTGGAAACAGACTTGAAGGAGAGATTCCAAAGTCCATCGGCTTATTGAAAGAGCTTCGTGTTCTCAACTTGTCAAACAATGCTTTCACTAGCCACATGCCATCGTCCATGGGGAACCTGACAGCTCTGGAGTCACTAGACGTTTCCCAAAACAAGCTTTCTGGAGAAATTCCACAAGAGCTAGGGAATCTCTCATTCCTTTCATAGATAATTGCGGAGATATCCACAAGCCCTCATCGCAACAGTCTGAAACACCAGAGCCAGAAGAAGAAGACGAAGAGGTGTTTAGTTGGATTGCAGCTGCAATAGGATTTGTACCTGGTATTGTGTTTGGGTTGGCGATTGGATACATATTGGTTTCATACAAACTAGAGTGGTTCACGAGTCCTTTTGGTCGAAACAAACGCAGAAGAAGAAGAAGAAGCACCACAGCTAACTAGAGATGTAATGTTCTGAATTTGAAAAAATATATTATAATAGAATTTTCTGGATGAATGAATAAGTGAAACTAACGTATGTTTTGTTTGTGTAGCCTTCGTAAACCCAACTTGAAGAATCTTTGAGAAAGAAAATGAAGCTTGGGGGAGAAGGCAACCCATTTATCAGTGTCTTGGTTTCAGTTATTGTTTCCGGTTACTCTGTTTTTGTTGTGTTCTTTCCTCTGTTTTTCTCTTTTACTTTGTCTTTAGCCAATGTTTGTATTTCTATGTATTTATAGCACAAATGTATTCCTGTTTATTTGATGGACATGATTATACATAGTTAAGGTCCAATTATAAGGATTTATCAAAAGAGATATATTTACCATAACAAATTTCGTCTATCTTTCTTCTTCTGCAGGCTCCTGTGAACTAACATATTTGGCGATGTTCCTTCTTCTCCTCTTGTTGGTATCGTTCAGGTAAACCCCGTCGTCTCACCACCATTGCCATTTACCGATGAGAAGAGCGATCGAGGCGGAGAAGAAGAAAATGATGATGAATCGGATTTCGATCTGCCTGAAGTTTCAATAGTCAGAATTGGAATTCGATTCTAGCTCAAATCGGGAAGTTTGATTTGATTGGATTTCTGATTATCCGAATAAACATGGTACACGAAGCTGGATTGCTCTCTTTCAGAACACCGCATTGCGCGAGATGACCATGCAGGGGATCGGCTTTAAACTTTGATACTGGATTTTGCTGGAATTCATCGAATTCTGAAGTTCGAAACGAAGCGACTCACTGTGCTTCCAATTTTGCAGGGTGGCCGATGCTGGCATTGGACATGTAGTGAAGAATTGCAGACTTATCATTGCTTTGAACATAAGTGGCTGCAAAGTATCAACATTTGTCAGCTTGCACTATTCTTTATGTAGCATTACTATTTTACTGATCTATTGAAGATTCACTTTTATTCAAGATACCTAATGATTTTGCTGCATTATCTTGCTGCGTTTAACTTATGCTCTATATTCTTTTTAGGTTGAGATATTTGATACAGTGATTCCATCGCATGATGAGGCTTGCTCAGAGAATGGTTAGCAACTACTGCTTGAGTGTCAGCAGATCAAACAACACTCGCTCGACCATTTGCTCCCTTGAGCTTAAAAGGTTTCTCCTTTTTTAGTGCTTTGTGGACTAACTTCAGTTCTCATGGGGAAGCCTCTGTTTCCGATAGTTCTTATGCAATTCAGAGAGTAGTAACTGAGTATTATAAGATTGGGTTTATGCTTTTCTTTTATGGCTTTTGATGACCAATTGTTCATGTGTCCATTTAAACTCTTTAGCCATCTCTATGTAGAAGAATAATCTGATTGTTGTCTTAGCCTTTTAGCACTGTTCTTATGTGTGTACACTATTCAAATCTTGAGAGGGAACTTGTTTTTTATAAAAGAGAAAGTCTTGTTCTAATGTTGAAGTTGCTTATTTGCAGGTGGATGCAGATTACATTTTTTAATACCTTTCGATCTGTTTGTTTCTGCAATTAAATGGTGACTACACTATCCTAAAGCGTTATTTTGCTATTCTCACTTATGTTACTTAGTGTCATCGTCTAACTAGTTTTTTTTTTTACATGCTTCAGGACACCAATGGGTTTGTAGATGAAAGAGCGCGAATCATCCTGGTTTTCAATTATGAAGTTCATAATAGCTCTGTTACTAATTCATTAAGGTCAGTGAGAATTTTAGATTTTCTTCGTTGCTTTTGTTCTAGGCGTTATGGTTACATTATTGTTTTGGTTCACTATTTTTTTTTCTTCTCAAACTGTGGTTTTTTAGTTACAGTTTAATTATTTTAATTTTTTATTCTTAAAAATCCCATTAAGAATTCTACTAATGGAAGAGCAAAAAATTAAAATCTATTACAAAATTTCTCAAAATTGATTGATAGAAAATCTACTACATATTATTTGAGAAGTAATATTATTGAAAATAGCTAATTTGTTAACACTACAGCAAAGTTAGTGTTTTTAATTGATGATATGTAAATGTGACATGCCAAACTTCTAAAAATAAATAAAATATTTTGATTGGTTGAATTAAAATTAAAGAATTTGTGGAATCAAAACATAAATATATTAGATTATATTTATAACACTAAAAATAACAAATTTAAATTAAAAGAAATCATAATTATAATTTCAATTTTTTACATATATTTATAATTTCATAAAATATAATTACAAAAAATTCAAAACTATATATATATATATATATTATAATTTCATATACAATCAAAAAAATAATACTAAATTATTCAATAGAATAGTAAAGATTCTATATATTAATATTGTTTCAAGTATAATGTATTTTTATTTTGGAAAGTTATTAATTTTCAAAATATAGTAATAACATCTAAACAAGTTTTAAATAAATAAATTATTAAATAATATAATTTTAAATAAAATACAATCATGATAAAAATAATATAAAAATAAAATGTTAAAAATAATAAAAAATAATAAAAAATAATTATTTTTATTGAATATTTTTAAAAACGTAATTTAAAATAAAATTTTCTTTTCAAACCAATATTTACTAAATGAATAAAGTATATACTAATTATTATTTTATAATATTAATAGGACCATATCTTTTTATATAGTTTTTATCACCTTTTAATTGTTGTATTTTAAAATGTACATAACTTATGTTACCATCTCATCTTATCTCTTATCATATTTTAAATAAAATAAAATTTTATATTATATTCATAAATTTATTTTCATTGTATATCAAAACTTTGAGATCATAAATAAAATGAAAAATAACTGAACGAAAAAATAAATTAAAATAAGATGAAATAAATATGAATAAGAATTAAAAATAGAAGTATATAAAAATAAAGCTCTCGCACTTTGTTTTACAAAGTCACTTAAAAATATTTTAACACGTAAGAGCCATATTTTGACTTTTTACAAATACGCGTACATACATAAATATTAATTGTGTATTAGTTGAAGTCACATGAATTTTTTCGTGCATGTTAGTATTTCTTAAGCTTGATTTCAATCCAATTTATATTTTAATTTTTATACAATTTATATATTTTTTATCTATTCTAAGTGTAGTGAGGTGGTTGGTATATCCACACATGCACGCCAACCATCTATCCGCTTTTAGGATAAGTAAAAATGGTAAAATTTCTTTCAGTTTAATTTGCAATAAATCAAGAAAAATTATATACTTAAAAATATATTATATATGTATTTCAAATTCATATTATGTATATTGTAGATTGTGTAAGAAGAAATAAAGCATATTATAAAGAATATTCAAAAAATATTATAAAAATTTAATTTTTATTTAATCTAACTTATATATTTTTGATTATATATTATTAAAAATATCATAAAAATAAAAAGTTTTAAAATACATTAATTTTAGAAATAAGCTGTGAAATATTAAAACAATAGATATACAAATATATTAATGTTTTAACTGTTTATATCAAAAAATTTATATCCATTACGGACCAATCATCTAGTTTATATTAAACAAATAGTTAAGATTCTCATTAGAAGTTCTACTAATGAAGATGCCGTGATGAATATTATGTATAAATACTCAAATTGTCCCTATACATTAAGAGAACACAGCCTGAGTGTAACTCTAGTGATGGCGCTTATTTGAGACGTCGTATCAAGAGAAGCACGCTTAAACACGTGTCTTATGTTAAGTGAAGTTGAACATATCGTTTTTAATAACTTCCTATTATGCTACTTCAGAGGCTATGATAATATATTATTTTGTAGATGGTTATAGAATATTCAGATGACCGCATTGCACATTGTAGTCAATGTTATTAATGTATATAGATATGTTTATTTTGTTTTGGTTTGTTTGGGATAAAGTAAAGAAAATATGAGATATTAAATTGGCAAAACAGAATAACGCATGAGAAAATATTTTATATATGTTATTGGATTTTGAATATCTATAGAATGATCACAAATAAATACTATTCTACATCCAATATTCATGTAGTCTAGATAGACATATCTCTCATTCAGTTTATATATTATGTAACAGAATAATACCTATTTTATTAATGGATTTTTCAAAATTTTATTTTATTAATAGATTTTTCAAAATGTTGAGAAACTTCTTCCAAAGTCTTTTATTTGAGAAACTTTGATGTGAGATTCATATCTAATTAATATATATAGTTTTTAATGAGATTTCCATTGTAGATGATCTTAAATAATTTGGTTATTTTATACTTCCATCGTTTTAAAATATGTTATTTTTTGTAACGCTTATTATATTATTAACGAGAATTGCTATAGTCAGCATGTAGCAAATTTGTCATTACATAAGGAATGAAAAAAAATGAAAAATGAAATATGCATTAGACGCAGGGCAAGATTTTGCTAATCTATCTGCTGGTTGATTGTTTGCTCTCTTTGTCCATTGGAATTTAACTTCTCCAAACTTATTTCTCCAAAATCTGGCTTCTCTTATCCAGTTATGATCATGAAAATTGAGTATTGTGCCGTTAATTAAATCAGGTTTGGATTTGTAATCTCCTTCAAAAATGATATTCCGTAGGCCTCGATTCCAACAATTCTGCATTGCCATGATTAAAGTTTAAAACTCACTCAGTAAAGGTGTCATCGTAGGCTGTCCTTTAGCTTGTCCCGTGCCAAGAAAGGTTTATTGGTGGTTGCGTATTACCCATCCTGCTTTGGCTTCCATTGTGTTGGTGTAAAAGGCTCCATCATAATTACATTTGATCCACTCTTCCTCTGGTCGAGTCCAATGCTGATTTAGCTATCGTGATGGATCTCTGTCTGAACGGCTAACCTCCACATTACTTACAGCAAGATATGATTCTGTATTCAACCATTCTTTAGCATCTTGACTTGCTAATCGGACGTTAGATTCCCAAGGAATATGACGTTGCTGAAACAGAAGGATGTTCCTGCTCTTCCACAATCGCCAAAGTATCCATAAACCCAATTGTTTTGAGAATGGGGTAGAACTGGTAATGTGTTGATCTAATATAATCTGCATCTTGCCTTCAAAAACTCACAGTTGTATCAAAGAGAGAGCTATTCATTATTCCAGAAGCTCTCCAAGTCACTTATGCATACTCACAATAGAAAAATAGATGTTTCAGTGTTTCTTCATCTCGGCAACATCGTTGACAGATTGAATGTTGGCTGATATGTTGTCTCTTCAAAGTTTCCCCTATTGCTAGTACCCGTGAAAGCATTCTCCATAAGAAGTGCTTTATATTTGGAGTTGTGTTTAGTTTCCATATACTCTGTTTTTTTTATCAATGTCGCCAACTGGAAGGGTAATGCCTTGGTTTATAGATAAATGAGTTGTCACCCAATATGCTGATTTAACAGTATAGATTCTGTCTTTGTTGTAATGCCACCCTAGAAGATCTAATGCGTTCTTTGGGAAGATTTTCAGTTTCAGTATGTGTTCAACATCTTCTACGGCAACCAATTCCCGAATTTTGTCTTCATCCCATCGTAACTGATCGTTTGTAAACCAATCACATACTTTTTATGATATAATCTCTGTATTCCTTGGCATTGGTGCTCGCGGAGGGTTGGTTGGTAACCAATGATCCTTCCATGTATTTACTAAATGACCATCTCCTATAATAAACATCAACCCTTTTTTAAGTAAACTCCTTTCTTGAAATATTGATTTCCAAATGTAAGATGTATTCTTTCTCTCTGTAACATTCAAAATATTACCGTCTGGATAATATTTTCTTTGTAGAACTCTTGTCATTAGGTTATTCGACCTGTGTAGTAATCTCCAGGTTTGTTTCTCTAGAAGGGTTAGATTAAAATTCTCAATATCTTGGAATCCTAGACCTCCTTTTTTGGGAATGCCTAATCGTTTCCACGCCAACTAGTGCTTCTTTTTCTGATTACATCCTAAGCTTCACCAAAGTTGTGTTAAAATCCTATTGATCTAATATGTGTCATTTTAAAGTTTTATTTTTGTTTTACAAAAATTATCACTTTACATTTTCAAAGTATAATTTTAAATAATGTCTACTTTCAATTTTTAAATTTTATTGTTTTATTTAGAAAAAGAATGTTAGTGTATATGTGAACAAAGAGTAAAATAGAACTTTTAATGATTTTTTTTTTAATTTATGTGAAAAGTGTTAAAGTAACATTTATTTTAAAACGGAGAAAGCATATTTTAGTAACTTTAGTTTATGTTTGGAAGTTTGAATATAGTAAATAATCATTTGAGTTTAGTTTTAAAATAATGTGAATTTTTTTTAACAAGTTTATATTATTTTATAATATAAAATAGTATAGAACAAAAAATAAAATAGTAAATAATATAAAATACTATTATATTGTATATAAGTAAGAATATATGTTATTTATTATTTGACAAATGTTTTTTTTTTGCTTAACGTTATTTGACAAATGTTAGGATTTGTAGTGTTAGGATTTGTAGAGTCTTTATATGTTCATTTGCCACGTAGTGTGAGTTACTCATCGTCGTGCTGCCAATAGATAGTAGAGTGCCAATACATAGTAGAGGCAAAAATGTACATGCATAAATTCTATGATTATGTTTTCATTTCAAAATAGATATATGAGCCCAATATTACTACTCACCTATGTTGACCCAATCCTAAAATTCTCTAATTCAAAAAAAAGAAAAATTGATTACAGGATAAAGAAGAATCAGATCCCCTTGTTTGTGGAAGAAAATCTTTGATTAAATATTAATTAAAATGATGTTTCTGGGGACAAAGACGACGACTTAAAAAACATGTGTATACTTTTCTCCGGTCTTCTTCCTTATTTTCCCACCAATAATTTCAAATCTCTCTTTCTCAACGTGAATAACATGTGTACAGAGGCGAATGTAAAAAATAATTATATATGAGACATAATATACATAAATATTTTAAAATATATTATGATTGTTGAAAATTATAACATAATTATTATACTTTTCATTAATTTTTGAAATTTACAAAATTAAATTAAAAAAAAATTAGAAAAAGGATAATAATTTAGGTTCATATGAAGAATAATTTAGCTACAAAACCAATTGAGTTAACTGAATTAAACTGTTAGCATTACATATTATTATAAATTTAGTATGGATCATATGCTCCATCCATCTATAACGTGGATGCCCCATACTATCTATAACGTAGTTGGTCCGCCCCTGCATGTGTATACTCTTCACTCAGCGTGAATAACAACACTTCGTACAAAGACTTGATGGTGAGTCAATCTGAGTGGGAACTCTTGAGGCTACCGATCACTACCCCTACTATAGTAACAAATAATCTCTTCTTGACTTAAAGTCTTTTGAAATGTCTATTCTCATCTAATTTCTTCTTCATTAAGGCTTTCATTATTATTTTCAGTGTATAGCTTTTAATTTGGTTATACTGACAACTTTGAAATTTCTAGTGAGAAAAGGAATACCAAAATGTTTTGTTTTGAACTCGACTATATTCAACACAAATACATGTGTATAGTCTTCACTCAACGTGAATAACGCATCGTACAAAGACTTGATGGTGAGTCAATCTGAGTGAATCTGGAGCACTCTCTATATACAATCTATATAAAGGGCATGAAACCATGTTTTACTATCACCATTTCCATCTTTCGCTTCTTCATTATTGATATTCAAGATAAATTATATTAGCTTAAAGAAGAAGAGCGAAAGGCTCTTAGAACTCAATGAGGACCATTCATATTACTTTTTCTTTTTTCTTCTCGTTCATATTATATTTTCGAAACATGTCTGCTCTTCCTATTAGACATATGTGTCGTCCTGAACAAAGGGAGGCCCTTCTCAAGTTCAAGAACGAGTTTGAGATTGGGAAGTCCAGGTTTCATTCGAATACCTTTCAAAACATTCCTTTTCTATCTTCTCTAGACCTTTCATATAATGATTTATATGGTCAAATTCCATCTTCTATTGGAAAACTTTCTCATCTCACCTCTCTCGATCTTTCTCGTAATCAATTTTCGGGTCAGATTCTGTCTTCAATTGAAAATCTTACAAATCTCATCTTTCTTGATCTTTTGGGTAATCAGTTTTGGGGTCAGATTCCATCTTCAATTACAAAGCTCTCTCATCTCGAATCGTTTGACCTGAGTAATAACAGTTTCGGTGGTGAAATCACATCTTCTCTTGGCAGTTTGAAAGAGTTGACCAATTTAGATTTAAAATTCAATCATCTCAGTGGAAACTTTCTCATTGCACTACTAAATTTGACAAAGTTGTCGATATTATCACTGAGCTCCAATCAACTCACAGGAACGCTTCCTCCAAACATCAGCTCACTCTCCAACTTGGTGGATTTTGACGCAAATGATAACGCTTTGGTTGGAACCGTTCCTTCTTCTCTCTTAAACATTTCTTCTTAGGCTTATATTTTTTTGTCAAATAACCAACTCAACGGCACTCTTGAGTTTGGGAATATATCTTCACCATCTAATCTCCTATGGTTACGCCTTGACGGTAACAACTTCAGAGGGCCAATCCCGAGATCCATTTCCAAATTAGTCAATCTTGAGTTTCTTGACCTTTCCCATTTGAACACCCAAGGCCCAATTGACCTCACTATCTTATGGCATCTCAAGTCGCTCTAATGGCTTATATTATCCCATTTGAACACAACGATTGACTTGCATGCAATCTCATCATTTTCCAAGTCACTCTCGGTATTAGAACTCTCTGGGAACCATGTTTTAGCCACAAACAAAAGTTCAGTTTCAGATTCTCCTTCGCATTTGATAAGATATTTAAACTTGCCAGGCTGCGGCATTACGGAATTTCCAGAACTTCTAAGAACCCAACATAGTATGACGTTTCTTGACATTTCCAACAACAAAATCAAAGGTCAAGTTCCTGGCTGGTTATGGACAATGCCAAAGATGTATTACGTGATTCTTTCCAACAACACTTGTCAACTTCGAAAGATCAATGAAACATGGACTATCCTCTGCCCTGAAGCACTTGTTTGGCTCTATAAACATCTTCACAGGAGAGATTATCTCTCATATGCGAGTTTCACTCTCTAACCATTCTCGATTTATCAACCAACAATTTCAATGGTTCAATCCCTCTTTGTATGGGAAATCTCAAGAGCAATCTCTCAGTTCTGAACCTACGTCAGAACCGTCTTAGTGGAGGTCTTCCGAAGAATGTATTTAAAGGTCTAAGAACACTTGACCTTGGTCACAACCAACTGGTGGGAAAGCTTCCAAGATCTTTGATTCATTTCTCCGCTCTTGAAGTTCTGAATGTGGAAAGCAACAGAATCAACGACACATTTCCGTTGTGGTTGAGTTCTCTACAGAACCTGAAAGTTCTTGTCTTGCGCTCCAATGCATTCCATGGGTCGATACAGCAAGGAGCATTTCTTAAGCTGAAGATCATCGACATATCACACAATGAATTCAATGGAACTCTGCCATCTGATTGTTTTGTGAACTGGAGTTCAATGTCATCACTTGGGATTCATGAAGACCAGTCGAATGAACGCTATATGGAAGACAAATCAGGCTATTACCAGTCGAATGGAGCTGGTACGTATCCTAAAAATCTACACAGCACTCGACTTCTCTGGAAACAAACTTGAAGGCAAGATTCCAAAGTCCATCAGCTTACTGAAAGAGCTTCACGTGCGAAACTTGTCAAACAATGCTTTCAATGGCCACATACCATGGTCCATGGGGAACCTTACAGCTCTCGAGTCACTAGACGTTTCCCAAAACAAGCTTTCTGGAGAAATTCCACAAGAGCTAGGGGATCTCTCATTCCTTTCGTACATGAACTTCTCCCATAACCAGCTTGTAGGTCTAGTATCAGGAGGAACTCAGTTTCGAAGGCAGAACTGCTCTTCTTTCCAAGACAACCTGGGACTTTTCGGCCCTTCTCTTGAAGATAATTGCGGAGATATCCACAAGCCTTCATCACAACAGTCTGAAACGCCAAAGCCAGAAGAAGAAGATGAAGAGGTGTTTAGTTGGATTGCAGCTGCAATAGGATTTCTACCTGGTATTGCGTTTGGGTTGACCATTGGATACATATTGGTTTCATACAAACCAGAGTGGTTCACGAGTCCTTTTGGTCGAAACAAACGCAGAAGAAGAAGAAGACGCACCACAGCTAACTAGAGAGGTAATATTATAATAAGATTTTCTATATGAATGAATAAGTGAAACTAACGTATATTTTGTTTGTGTAGCCTTCGTAACCCCAACTTGAAGAATCTTTGAGAAAGAGAATGAAGCAAACAAACCAAATGGACCGGAGAGAAAAAAAGCTTGGGGGAGAAGGCAACCCATTTATCAGTGTCTTGAATGATTCCAGTTATTGTTTCCGGTTACTCTGTTTTTGTTGTTGTGTTCTTTCCTCTGTATTTTTCTTTTACTTTGTCATTAGCCAATATTTGTATTTATATGTATTTATAGCACAAATGTATTCCTGTTTATTTGATGGACATGATTATACATAGCTAAAGTCCAATCATAAGAGGATTTATCAAAAGAGATATGTTTACATAACACTAGAAAGCATTATGAAGAAAGCGTCATGAGTCTGATGTAGAGTAAAAGTTTCACAGGTTATGTATCATACAACTTTGTTATTGGTGCATACTCATATTGGGGACCAAAGGCTGGTTATAACATTTATAAAATGGTGAAAACCTAACCTCCTATTTGTAGAAAGTCAGATCTAATCTGATTGCCAAACAAGCTCGTCAACTTTGCTCTCACCTTCTTCCCAAATTCAAGTGACCACACCTGTCGCCTCTCTCTCTCTATCAAATTCTAAAAAAAATGGATGGTCATGAAGGTTGTTATGGCGGCGGTGGAAAGACGGAAATGATTCCGACGGAGGGAGCTCTGAAGATGGTACTGGGCGTCTCCGAGCGGCTACCTCCGGTAGTCGTATCGCTGCAGGAAGCACTTGGTAAAGTGTTGGCGGAGGATATTTGTAACGACCCAGGCCCAGTAAAATTGGTAAAAGCCCAACAAGAATTGTCAGTCCAGCATGGCCCAAACCTAATTGCATCTCTATCGCCTTCTTCTTCCGCCATGAGTAAAAAGCTGCACCGAGAACGTCGACAGCGAAGCTCTGTCCGGATCCCGAGAACGCCGCCCCCAGTGTTTCAGACCGAACCGGAGTCTCTACATGTGATTATGTAACCGCGAATCAACGACGAGCCGCGTCTTCTCGATCACGCCGCCGCTGTTCACCGTCGCCGTCGATCTTCTGCTCCGAGTCATCGCCATCGTCTGTGAATCTCATCTGGGTAAGCACGAATGATTTGCTCCGCCATTGCCGTCCACGTTCAGTTTTCCCGAGAGTGATTATGCTCCGCCATTGCCGTTCAGGTTCAGTTTTCCCGAGAGTGATTATGCTTTGAAACCAACAAGCTTGTATAATGGTTTACCATTCTCACATTGCCAAAAAACAAAACCACATGTACTTGAGGAATACTTCATAGAGATTCCTCCTGTAGCAAAAGCCATTGGATTTCTTAAATGAATTGGTAAAAATGTTGATTTCTTAATTGATTTTTGATTTTTGGTAGAAATATAGAGAAGAAGCAAAACCACTAACGATGGTTGAGGTAAAGAACGGAGAAGACACTTCGTTCTGGTTCGACAAATGGGCTCCTATGGGACGCCTACACGCGCTCACCGGAAACCGCGGATTTGTAGACCTAGGAGTGGGTATTGACTCAACGGTGGCATCGGTTCTAGCCACTCACAGACGGAGGAACCATCGGGTAACTCTGCTCAACCAGATTGAAGATGCAATTGACAACTTACGGGAGGTTTCAGACCAACACAAAGAGGATAGAGTGCTATGGCTTCAAGCAAATGATCAGTTCAAACCGCGATTTAGATCGAAGGATACATGGACACTTATTAGGGAGGAACAGCCACGCAAGAGTGGTATAAAGGTGTCTGGTTTAAGTACTCAACTCCGAAATACTCATTCATTACATGGTTGGCTATCCGCAATCGCTTTTCTACTGGGGATAAACTGCAGGCATGGAATATGGGAGCAGGGTTTTCATGCGTGTTCTGTCAACACTCGGTGTAGAATTATGTAGTTTCTGATTTCAGGCTTCAGACTTTTTCTCTTTGTATCACTGGCCTTTGTTTGGTTAATTTAACATATCCATTCAAAAAAAAAAAAAAAAAAAAAAGATAATGTAGATAATATATATAGTATCTGTAATCTATACTAAACAGAATATTACTCTTATTTACACTGTATATACCAATATCTCTCTATCACTATCATCATCGTTCATCAATCATACATTATCGAGTCTCAGATTCTTAGAAGTGGCTTTCTCTCTACTTGATTACTTCCTGGACTGATTTTCCCCTTGTTTCTGATTCTGGGTGAATCTCTAGCTTACTATTATCCTGTCTTATATGGTTTGGTGCCTCTTCTCTCTCAATCTCTGTGATCTCTCTCTTATCGAAATCTGTTTCTTGCTTGATTGCGAATTTGATTATATAATCGATCAATTCCTCCGCATTTCTGTTTGAACGATTGATGTATAGAGAGATTGGCCATTAGTACGGTGAACGAAATCGATGACAAGGAGCCTCCTCCGTTCATCTACACGGCTAAGATGATTTACCCAAAGTGACTGCACGAAGCGATGCACAGAGAGTAGAAACTGCGCCTGCGTGGCGAAAAACGGAGGAGAGATACCTTACAACTACGATGGGAACATAGTTTGTCCAAAGAGCTTGATCTACGAGTGTGGCCCTCTCTGCAAATGCCCTCCTGCTTGCTACCTAAGAGTCACGCAGCGAGGGATCAGGTTCAAGCTCGAGATCTTCAAAACCGAGTCGAGAGGCTGGGGAGTGAGGTCTCTCAGCTCGATACCTTCGGGTAGCTTCATATGCGAGTACGTCGGCGAGCTTTTGGAGGATAAAGAAGCTGAGAGAAGAACAGGGAACGACGAGTATCTCTTTGACATTGGGAACAAATACGACAACTCTTTAGCTGAAGGGATGTCGAAGCTAATAACAGGGATGGAGAAAGAGAAAGAAGAAGAAGATGGTGGCGATGGTGGTGAGACGACGGGGTTCACCGTCGACGCCGCGAAGAAAGGGAACATCGGGAGGTTTATAAACCATAGCTGCTCGCCGAATCTGTATGCACAGAACGTGTTGTATGATCATGAAGACAAGAGGATCCCTCACGTGATGCTGTTTGCGATGGACAATATACCTCCGCTTCAAGAACTCACTTACCATTACAATTACATGATCGACCAGGTGCGCGATGTCAACGGTAATATCAAGAAGAAGATTTGCTACTGTGGTTCTTCTGAGTGTTCCGGTAGGCTCTATTAATCTATTACCCTCAAACTTTTTCTCCCCTGTTTTAAACTCAGATTCTTCTTGTTTTTATGTTTTTATCAACGGTTTATGTTATACCGTAGAATCTATATTAATTAATATACCATATAGCTATAGCAGCAGCTAAGAACAGAACTGATGTAAGAATCAATGCAGCATTTTGATATGATCCTGCATATACAACAACAATGCAGCATTTTGGTTTCTGTTTTGTTCTTTCAAGTATTGGCGATGACAGGAACAGATCTATTTTACCTGAACGATACCGACATCGCGGAATATGTGAAATCGCAACGGTAGAGAGAGCCATTGATAATGGTCTTAAACTTGGTTTCACACAATGTAAACACACATAGTTCACAGGAGCCTGAAGAAGAAAGAAAGATAGACGAAATCTGTTATGGTAAATATATGATAAATCCTCTTATGATTGGACCTTGACTATGTATAATCATGTCCATCGAATAAACAGGAATGCTTTTGTGCTATAAATACATAGAAATACAAACATTGGCTAAAGACAAAGTAAAAGAGAAAAACAGAGGAAAGAACTCAACAAAAACAGAGTACCCGGAAACAATAACTGAAATCAAGACACTGATAAATGGGTTGCCTTCTCCCCCAAGCTTCATTCTCTTTCTCAAAGATTCTTCAAGTTGGGTTTACGAAGGCTACACAAACAAAATATACGTTAGTTTCACTTATTCGTTCATCCAGAAAATCCTATTATAATATATTTTTTTCAGATTCAGAAACATTACCTATCTAGCTAGCTGCGGTGCTTCTTCTTCTTCTGCGTTTGTTTCGACCAAAAGGACTCGTGAACCACTCTGGTTTGTATGAAACCAATCTGTATCCAATAGTCAACCCAAACGCAATACCAGGTACAAATCCTATTGCAGCTGCAATCCAACTAAACACCTCTTCATCTTCTTCTCTTGGTTCTGGTGTTTCAGACTGTTGCGATGAAGGCTTGTGGATATCTCCGCAATCATCTTCAAGAGCAGGGCCGAAAAGTCCTAGGTTGTCTCCGAATGAAGAGCAGTTCAGCCTTCGAAACTGAGTGCCTCCTGGTAATAGACCTACAAGCTGGTTATGGGAGAAGTTCATGTACGAAAGGAATGAGAGATTCCCTAGCTCTTGTGGAATTTCTCCTGAAAGCTTGTTTTGGGAAACGTCTAGTGACTCGAGAGCTGTCAGGTTCCCCATGGACGATGGTATGCGGCCATTGAAAGCATTGTTTGACAAGTTGAGCACGTGAAGCTCTTTCAGTAAACCGATGGACTTTGGAATCTCGCCTTCAAGTTTGTTTCCAGAGAAGTCGAGTGCTGTGAAGACTTTTAGGATACGTTCTAGCTCCAATAATACACCTTTATTCATCAAAACCATTGAATCATGGTAATAGCCTCCTCCCATGTACTTTCCAGTCGACTTATCTTCGTTTATCCCAAGAGATGCCATTGCACTCCAACTCACATAACAATCAGCTGGTAAAATTCCGCTGAACTGATTATGTGAGATGTCCAAGATTTTCAGCTGAAAGAACGAGGCTTGATGTATCGGTCCATGGAATGCATTGGAGCGTAAGACAAGAACTTTCAGGTTCTGTAGAGAACTCAACCAGAACGGAAACGTGTCGTTGATTCTGTTGCTTTCCACATTCAGAACTTCAAGAGCAGAGAAATGAATCAAAGATCTTGGAAGCTTTCCCACCAATTGGTTATTTCCAATGTCAAGCGTTCTTAGACCTTTAAATACATTCTTCGGAAGACCTCCACTAAGACGGTTCTGACGTAGGTTCAGAACTGAGAGATTGCTCTTGAGATTTCCCATGCAAAGTGGTATTGAACCATTGAAGTTGTTGCTTGATAAATCTAGAGTGCTTAGAGAGCGCAACTCGCATATGAGAGATGGAATCTCTCCTGTGAAGTTGTTTTTAGAGCCAAACAAGTACTCCAAGGTTGAGGATAGTCCAAGTTTCGTTGAGCGTTCGAAACCGATGAATGTGTTGTTGGAAAGATTCACGTAAAACAGATTTGGTAGCGTCCATAACCAGCCAGGAACTTGACCTTTTATTTCGTTGTTGGAAATGTCAAGATGCTTCATATCCTGTTGGGTTCTTACGAGCTCTGGAAATTCGGTAATACCACAGCTTGACAGGTTTAAATAACTTATCACCTGTGAAGGTGAACTGAACTTTTGTTGTTTGTGGCTAAAACATGGTTCCCTGAGAGATCTAATGCTCCGAGTGACTTGGAAAATGATGAGATCGCATTCAAGTCAATCGTTGTGGTAGTGTTCAAATGGGACAGGTCAAGACTTTCAAGCGACTTGAGATGCGAGAAGATACTGAAGTCAACTGGGCCTTGGGTGTTCCAATGGGAAAGGTCAAGTTCTGCGAGGTTGACTAATTTGGAAATGGATCCAGGGATTGGCCCTCTGAAGTTGTTACCTCTAAGGTCTAACCCTTGTAGCTTAGATGGTGAAGATATATTCCCAAACTCAAGAGTGCCGTTGAGTTGGTTATCTAACAAATAAATAGATGTCAAAGAAGGAAGGGCGAAGAGAGAAGAAGGAATGGTTCCAACGAAATTGTTGCCACCTGCGTGAAAATACTCCAAGTTGGAGAGTGAGCTAATGTTTGGAGGAAGCGTTCCTGTGAGTTGATTGGAGTAGAGTGATAAAGACGACATCGTTGTCAAATTTAGTAGTGCAATGGGAAAGTTTCCACTGAGATGATTGGTATCTAATATTAAGTAGGTCAACTGTTTCAAACTGCCAAAAGAAGATGGGATTTCACCATTGAAACTGTTACCGTTGAGGTGAAGAGTTTCCAGACGAGAGAGCTTTGTAATTGAAGATGGAATCTGACCCCAAAACTGATTATAAGAAAGGTCGAGAGAGGTGAGATGTGAAAGGTTTCCAATTGAGGATGAAATCTGACCAGGGAACCGATTACCAGAAAGAGTGAGAGAAGTGAGAATTGAAAGATTTTCAATTGAAGATGAAATCTGACCAGAAAATTGATTATCCGAAAGAGCGAGAGAGGTGAGATTGGAAAGAGTTCCAATTGAAGACAGAATCTGGCCAGAGAAATGATTACTAGTAAGGTCGAGAGAGGTGAGATGAGAAAGTTTTCCAATGGAGGATGGGATTTGACCATATAAATCATTACGTGAAAGGTCTAGAGAAGATAGAAAAGGAAAGTTTTGAAAGGTATTCGAATGAAACCTGCCATGGAGGCAGCTGCAGCTAAGGTATAGCTCGATCACTTCCCCAGACTTGGCATCGCACCTGATACCATCCCAATAACAACAATCGCTGTTATTTCCCCATGACTCCGTCTTCCAATAAGGAGCTCTACCTTTATCATAATAACAATCAAGATCAGAAGAAGACTTCCGAATCTCAAACTCGTTCTTGAACTTGAGAAGTGCATCCCTTTGTTCAGGACGACACACATGTCTAATAGGAACCGCAGACATGTTTTGAAAATAAAGTATAAAAGAGAAGAGAACAGAAAATGTAATATGAATGGTCCTCATTGAGTTCCAGGAGCCTTTCGTTCTTCTTCTTCAAGCTAATTTAATTTTCTTGAATATCAATAATGAAGAAGCGAAAGATGGAAATGGTGATAATAAAACATGGTTTCATGCCCATCTCTTTATATACATTGCATATAGAGAGTGCTCCAGATTGACTCACCATCAAGTCTTTGTACGAAGTGTTATTCACGTTGAGCAAACAGAGTGAATGTATTTGTGTTCCAAACATTTTGGTCCAACCAAATTAAAAGATATACACAACCAAATTAATGAAAAACAAATTCGATATACATTACAAAAAGAGTACAAGTCAAGAAGATACGATTTGTTATGGGTAATGATAATCATGTGGTCGATGTAAAGAGAGCTCTCAGGAAGAAGATAAGGTTCAGGGCAGAGTTGGCTTACTTTTCAAGTCATCGACTTTCGTCTTTTCTGAAACAAAACTGACTAGTCAATATTGCTGAATAGTTTGAGAAATCTATGTGTTTGTTTGTTTGGTTTCTTTTGTCATGATACATTTTTTCTTTGTTCGAGTTTGATTTATATGGTTTGTTTTAATTGCGTCGTGATACTAAACATACATTAATCTAGTCGATTAAAAACTATGATGCGCACTATGGACAGAAGGCATGCAAATAAATTATTTTGAAAGCTCTGCAAAACCAACGAGAAGCCAAAGAGAATGAAGTATCGCTTCCTTGCAACACAAGCATCTATTACTGTGTCTCATTTGTCACAGTACTACCTGTGATTGTTTTAGCTGTCTGGTAGACAAAATCAGGAAGGAAGGCAAGCCAGAATAAAGTAGACTTTCTTTTATTGATTCAATAGAATAAAGTAGACTTTCTTTTATTGATTCAATAGACTTATTAGTTTGTTTTCCTAGCAAGATGTATCCAAAAATGGTAATGTTCCAAGTTTTCCCACTCTTTCACGCCAATATATATGTACAAACAACTCTTAAAAATTTTTGATCATCGACAAACAATTTTGATCTGATATTTCACCACCAAAAAATCTTTCTTTAGAGAATAATCAAGTGAAAGAAGACGACAAAAACAAGAACATAAATCCAGAAGAAAATGATATCGAGAAGAATTTATAGGAAAAAAAGATAAAGAACTGAGAAGAAGCACAATGATCACATTCTATACAACCAAAAAAAAAGAATTATACAGCCTGAAACGTGTAATTCAAGTTTTTCCATGCAAATTTGAAGCTTTTGTGTGAGATTTGGCTCATTGTGTTTTGTAACTGTACAAATACACACAGATTTCTCTACTTTTGCTATATAGTATTTATTCATTTATGGAGTTACAATCGATTGTTCTTGCCTCCTCTGCTTCTCACTTTCACTTTCTTCTCCATTAAACCGATCTACACTGTTTATGAATATCCCTGCCAAAACAAAATTCGCAACAAAAACAGCTTCTTGATTTGGAACAAGAAAGATTTATCTAGGTTCAAGAATTGAGATTTGCATTTTACCTATAAACCATATTGCAGCAGCTAAGAACAAAACCGATGTAAGAATCAATGCTGTTTTTCTCCAACTGTTTATATGATCCTGCATATACAACAACAATGGAGCAATCTTGGTTTCTGTTTTCTCTTTTCAAGTATTGGCGATGACAATAAGAGATCTTTTTTTTTACCTGAACGATACCGACAAGAGGAGAAGAAGGAACATCGCCAAATATGTGAATCGCGACGGTAGAGATAGCCATTGATAATGGTCTCAAACTTGGTTCCACACAATGTAAACACACATAGTTCACAGGAGCCTGAAGAAGAAGAAGAAGAAGATTGAGATATATAACAATATTACAACAACGCTAAGGCTCAAAGTTTGTTTTACCTGTGTAGCAAACACAAGAAGCTCTCCTAAGGCAAAGAGAGCGATGAAACCGTTTAAACTCTTTAAGGTAAATGCAGTGAAGCAAAAGATCGCTCCAAGAAACGTTGCTCCGGATAAAAGCTGCATACATACGTATCAATCAAAAGGTTTTGATTCAAAATATGAAAACAAGAAGAGAAAAAAAACTTTTTCTTCTTCACCTTGAAAGCATTTGGAATAGTTGCGGTGACACGATCGAGTATAAACCCTCCAGATAATGTCCCAATGATCCCACAAATGATAGTTACTGCCCCGAAGATCATATCAGCGTTTTTCTGAATCAGAAAATAAAGTTTGAATCTTTCAAGAACCCTCAAGAAGAAAGATTGATAGAAACAAACAAACTGTTTCACCATTTTGTAAATGTTATAACCAGCCTTTGGTCCCCAATATGAGTATGCTCCAATAACAAAGTTGTATGATACATAACCTGTTAACACCAAGTTATATCATCAATCAATGAAGAAGATAAGTAAGAAGAACAGTGAATAGCAAAGAGGACAAAAAATTCTTACCTAAGACATTAACAACAAAGACTTTTTCTTTACATAGAACTTTCATGTCTTTCCCAAATTGAGTAAACGATTTCGAAATTGAGTTCTTGTAACTTGACCTGTCACAGTTGAAGTAAAAAGATTTGATAAAACTAATACAAAACGTATGGAAGAAAAGTTTAAAGATAATAAATTCAAACTCACTTGTAAGATTCAATGGAGACCTCAATCTCATTACCACCAGCTTGAAGATGATTCTTGTTTTTAGATGTCTCTGCGTCTGCAAAATAGACAAAACTCTCACTGCACAACTGTATAATCAAAGCACATTATCATTAACATACAAGAAAGGTGAAAAAAATTTACCAACTGATGAAGCCATCTTTATAGAATCAGTAGAAGGAAACCCTGTTTCATTTTTCCTTTCTCTGATCAATATCTTTAACAGTTCATGCTTGAAAGTGAAACAGAAGACAGAATCTGTTCTTAACCTTTTAACTGTAGAGGTTTCATCAAGAAACCAAGAACAGCAAATGGAGCCATTAAAACAGCTTCTCCCCAAAACGCATAGCGCCAACTAAAATGTTTTCCAACCTAAAAAATCAACAAGAAGGAATCACAACTTTCTTTAATATCATTAGTCTCAACAATACTAATTCATAAAGTTTGTATACATACGTATCCGCCATAGACATAGCCCAAAGCAACACCACTTGGTATACACATGTAAAACACACCAAGCCACACAGCTTTCTGAAGTTAAAAAGCAAAAGGGTTAATCAGAAATGGAAAAATGTTGCATTTTGAATCCATAAGATGTGCTAAAAAGGTTTAAAAGAGAAACCTGTTTGTGAGGAGCATTATCATCTATAAACGGAGCTGCAAGACTGATGAAAGAAGCTTCACCTAGACCAACGAACCTATCGAGTAATAATAATAATTAATATACAAATCAAAATTTGGAGCAGGCAAAGTCAAAATCATAAACAAGAACAAAACTTAACTTACATGCGACATAAGACGATAAACCAAAAGGCAAAGGAACTTCCACAACCAAGAACTGCAATAGTCCAAACAGTTAAGCCTACTCCAATAAGTCTAAATGGATTGAAACTGCGCTACAAACAATAAGCAACTTCAATAATCTATGTTTTGTTTAAGCCTTAGAAGAAAAAAATGAAAAATGTTTCCTAACCTTTTTGCTAATGAAGCAAAGATTGGTGATGCAATAAGAAGTCCAACCATAAATGAAGATGACAACACACCATCTTCGAAATTGCTTAGATTGAAATGTCCCCTAGAAGAAGAAACAAATTTGACTAAAACATAGCACTAAATATTAAAATTTTTAGGGTTTTTAATGATAAAATCCCTCAAGTACAGATGAATCGGATTTAAACCCCTCAACTAAAGATGAATCGGATTTAAACCCCTTAACATGAAAACCCCTTATGTACGTTTTTTTAACGTATTAACCCCTCCGTCTACATTATCGTTAATATTTAGAATCATCGTTAACAACAAAAGGATTCGTTTTATTTTCGTCAAAAACGGCACAAACTAAATCTAAAACAACACGATGTGTTGATAAGACAACACCACATTTTAAAATCTAAGCAAAATTCCCAAATTCATACAATGAGCCCTAATTTTAGAAATTAAGGTTCTTTGAAAGTCGAATGTGAAAGATAAGGAGTGATTAAATTGTTTCGATGTTCTTTGGAAGTTTACGGTGAGAGTTTAGAGTAATTGGCTGTTCTGATTACAATAATGTTGAGAGATAAGCCAATAAAGGATCCAGGTAAGAATTCTGAATGACAGTATTTGAAAGACGATTTGAGCAGATGAAAAGCATAAAATTTGCAGCTTATGAGAAAGTTAAGAGAAGTGTCGGTTCAAATTTGTCCACGTAAGAATTTTGAATTCAAAAGTACTTTTGCTTAGGTTTGTCTCTGTTTTTTGCTTCGTTTTATATATGAGATTCCTATATAAAATTATGAGCAAGAATGTCTGTCGCTGCCTAATGATGATTCTTTTTCACCTTACATCATACTTCTCTCCCCTTCATCGTTTGTCCTTACAAAAGAATAGTTGCTTATAAAAGATGGTGCTCTGTTTTTTTCTTTGTCGAGTGAAATTGTTATATTTGTTCTGCTTTTTGCTTTGTTATGTGTGTGAAGCTTTTTAGTTTTTTTGTGTTACTAAGACTAAGATAGGAGCAACGACAGAGACAATATTAGTGAATCATTTCTTAATTTTGTTTGTTAAACTTCTTAAGTCACCAAATTTATCTGCAATCAAACTTTCAAAGAGACAAAAGACAATAGATGCACTCTAATAATCTACGATTGGATAAGGCTATAAAATAGTTTTTCATGTTGTTATTTTTAGGGGATTTTATGTTGTAAATCGGATTATCATGTTTAGAACATAAACCATGTTAAAATTCAACGTGTCTTTGGTTTGGGAAACCAATTTGGAGTCTGTTTTGTTTGAATTCAACGTGTCTCTGTTTTGATTAAGGTTTGTGTCATTTTTTCACAAAATCAAAACGCATTGTTTTATTTTTTAACGGTGCTTTTAAGATTTGACGACATAATAGACGGAGGGGTTAATACATTAAAGATTTGTTATTTGAGGGGTTTTCATATTAAATGTTTAGTTAAGGGGCTTTAACCCGATTCATTTTTACTTGAGGGGTTTTATCATTAAAAACCCAAACTTTTAGGCCTAAACAACCAAAATCTTACTGAATTCGGTTGCATTTGCCCTTATCATCACAAGTCTTGGTACTTCCATTGACACCATTGCTCGCTATAGCACCACGATCCATGTAGTTTAACAAGTTAATGATGCAAAAGATCACAAGTAACCTGAAAAAAAAAAGAGTTTTGATGAAGATAATAATGCAGCAAAGAAATACAGAGTTCTGTGTCAAAGACCAATCCAGTATCTTTAGCATATATAGAATTGAATGCAAAGAGAACAAAACACACAATCGCAAATGAGATTCAAAGTATTCGAAGCGTGAAGGGAAATGTCAAAATTCGTACATTCATGGCGGGAAGAGAGGAAAAGTAAAGAGTAAAGCAATGATTAATGTACCAAATGGGAGACAGAAAGGAAGATTCGACGATGTCTAAATTAATCGAATCGAATTACTGTATGTTTCTTTGTGGTACATAGATCGTATCTAAAGGTGACCAAGGAGATACAAACATCAAGCAGTCGTCACGACATGCCACTAACCTCTCTGAAGGACCATATAGGGGTTGACTCGTGTGGAATGTGGAATAGGTACGTTGACTCTCCTAATTTCCGAATGAAGATTCTGCATTTCCTTCCCCAAATCCTAGTTACTATCGACTGAATAAGCCCTCTAGAAGGTGCTGAGCAGCGGTAAAATTGACCTACCACAAATTCTTGTTGGTTCTCTAAACCACCTAGAAGAACATGAGAAGGTATTCTAACCTCCAAGTACTCAGGAATGGTTACTCTATGAAGATTCCTCAGACATTGGTTCATCCTTGCTGTCCAAGGATACTCTTTGGAGTGAGCTTTGAGTGAAGCAGCTTCAGCTTCAGAGCAGTGAGACGTTGTTAACTTCTAAGCCAAAGCCATTGGGAATTTTCAGAGTTTCAACAAAGGACCTTCTGCAAGATGATGAAGAGGAGCAGAATAAATCGCTGATTTTGAGGGGGTCGATGGTAAGAGGGTCGCTGATTTTGAGGGGGTCGAATCCAATCTCCTCTCCGATGAAGGCATGAGAAAATAGTAGTCATTTGCTGAGATTTCACCGGAAGACATGGGGCAAATGGATTTCAGAAAGAATAAGGGAGAACTAAGAGAGGAGAGGAGCGAATCCACCGGTAAAAGAGCCGCCAAGAGAGCGAAAGGAGAAATTTTTTAAGGGTTGTCTCGATAAATGGGCTTGGGAGCGTTTTTTGTTTTACTCTTCTGTGTGCTATGGTTTGCAATCTCTGTGCTCTCTCTCTCTCTCTCAATATAAATCTGTTTCTTGCTTGATTGCGATCGATTCCTCCGCGTTTATGTTTGAACGATTAATGTATAGAGAGATTGCCCATTTGCGCGATGATCGAAGCCTCCACCGTTCATCTACACGGCTAAGATGATTTACCCGAAGTGGCTCACGCGGATCCCTCCAAAGGGATGCGGCTGCACAAAGCGATGCACGGAGAGTAGAATCTGCGCCTGCGTGGCGAGAAACGGAGGAGAGATACCTTACAACTACGATGGGAACGTAGTTTTTTTCTTTGTTCGAGTTTGATTTATATGATTTGTTCAATTGCGTGGTGATACTAAAAATATATTAATCTAATCGAACTACTGTATATTTCTTTGTGGTCTAGATATACGTTTAAACTAATTAAAACGTCGTGATTCTTCGTTAGCCCAGCAATGACCAATGATATTTCTACTGAACTGAAGTAGCGCTTGCTTGCAACACAAGCATCTATTACTTGCAAGGACTAAAAATCAACATTTTTACCAATTTATTCAAGAAATCCAATGGCTTTTGCTACAGGAGGAATCTCTAAGAAATATTCCTCAAGCTCATGTGGTTCTGTTTTGTTGGCAATGTGAGAATGGTAAACCATTACAGTGTGTAGACAGTTAAGAAAATTGCCCAAATTCTTCCGCTTTCGGTTACGAACATGACAAAGTGGTTTTCAAACGCAAGAGTGGCTGTACAGGGATGCTTGATTTCCACGCCATACCTAGTTTTGCCAATATAAATGAGAAAGTTCCTTTTTCTCACTATATAAAAAAGGAAATATCCTATTTATTGATTCAAAAGACAAAAAAACAAACTACTATAGTACTTATTAGTTTGTTTTCCTAGCAACATGTATCAAAGATGGTAATGTTCCAAGTTTTCCCGTTCTTTCACGCCAATATATAATATAAACAACTCTTAAGAAATTTTGATCATCATCGACAAACAATTTTGCTCTGCATTTATTTGTTATAATCTAAGATAAACAAATAAAAAAAACAATGAAAACCTCTATTTTAGATCAATAGTATTTCATCCAGGTAGGTATATCAATTGTTAACGATTTTTTCATGTGTTTTAGGAAGGCGGTACATGGGAATTCATGAGCAAGCAGAAGATTTCTCTTTAGTGAAAAAATACGACAAGAACATCCAGAAGAAAACGATATCGAGAAGAATTTATAGAAGAAAAGGTAAAAAAACTGAGAAGAAGCACAATGATCACATTCTCTATAACCAAAAAGAGAATTCTATAGCTCGAAACGTGTAATTTAAGTTTTTCAATGCAAATTTGAAGCTTTTGTGTGTGGACTTTTTATCCTATTAAATTAATTCTATATTCGAAAGAAAACTCTGATATAAGTTATCTACTGTATGTTTGATGAAAAAAGAATGGCGTTAGTTACAGATAGTTATAAATTGGTGAAGATGGTTTTTAAATCTGAGGAATGACCATTTTTTGCTTTACATATAGAGGAATACGAGACAAGTAGGAGTTTCAGTTTTTTTTTATCTCATATATTCTACATGTTCAAAATATAAAAACAGATAAATTAGTACGAAATGCTCAAAATTACTTTTATTATTTAGATTATGTAAACTCAACTTCACCTATTTAGTTATCTGAATCGTTTTAAAAGTTCAAAACTATTGACAAAACAATATTTCAAAAAAAAAAAAAAAAAAAAAGCACTATTATTTACATAGCAAACCACGTTCCCTTGCCCATATGTCGTCACTGTGACGTGAATAGTGGCACTGTACTGTACATGTATTTTTTTGTGCGTGTAATGTAATGCTCCTCTTTTTGGCGACGTTTGAGATTTTAAGTCCTAAAAAATCAGGAAAAAATCGCAAATCTGTTCTTTGTTTCCTTCACAATGTTCTCAATCAAATCAAACTTCCCGATTTGAGCTAGAATCGAATTCGAGTTCTGACTATTGAAGAACTTCAGGCAGATCGAAATCCGATTCATCATCATCTTCTTCTCCGCCTCGATCGCTCTTCTCATCGGTAAATTTTGTCCCTTACATCTGTTTCCCACTCTTTTACGCCTATTTGATTTTATAATCGATCGATTCTTCCGCGTTTCTGTTTAAACGATTCATGTATTGAGAGATCGTGATGTTGTCTTGCATGATTCGGAATTTGGTGTTTTGTTTCCGCGAAATCTTTGCTTAGGATCATTGGAAACGAACGAAAATTAGATTTAAGAATATGGTGAATAGATTTTCTCAGCTAGGATTTGAAC